ACACCGATATTTTATAGGATATTTTTTAAATCAGCACGAAGATAGATGCATTTTTAAATAATTAGATGAAAAACCTAATTTTCCGTATCTGGATGATAATGAAGGGTTACAATACCCTTCAGCAGCAAACACATGGCGCCAGACAACGTGATCTCCAGTTATATAGCGTGATTATGTATAGGGTTCCATATGTTACCTGCCTTAATCAAGTCTTGTAACGGTATACTTTAATGTTTCTAGTAACACCACTTGTATAAGATTGCTATAATTAAACACAGACATGAACATTTGTCTGGGGTTCATCACGCTAAGTAGATACCTAAATCACGACTTCCTTTTACAAGAAAAAATAACAGCACGCACACTTACGTGCTTCGACTTTTTTCATTTCACCATTTTTATTCTAGAAATACCTTTTATAGGGATGTATGTGGGCAATATCGTATTTATTGTAATATTGAAGTGTAAAGTTAAAGACAAACAACACAGACGAACACTTCACGTGTGTGCGTGGGCTGCACGTGAATTCTTACATTTACGCACACTGTCCACGTGAACAAAGTTTACAGGACGAATCAAGCAATGTTTGATCATTCTACAACCGCCCCGCCCACTTTGATTAGATATACTGGATATAAGCCACAATATGTCTGGAAACATTTCGGAGATGGACAGAATAAATTATTAGTTAAGAAAAGACATATAAAGCGCACGTTTTCTTTTTCAAGCGTTCGTCGTATGACAAATAGGGCAACTGGGCATCATATGCCGGAGCAGACATTTTTTAAAGCAATTATTATTGATCAAGCGCTCCATCCCTGTTGATACCGCTGATGGATAACTACCTAAAGAGACGGTTGTTTCAGAATTATAACAAGTAATAGCAGCAGTTTATTTAACTAACAGATCCATATGTGTGTGTATGTGTGATAACGCTCTTTATGGCCAACCTTCTAGACGCCACCTTTCCAATTAAATAAAGTAAACAGACGCTGGTAATTACACTCCTTTTGGACCTCTGCCTAGAGGTTTAAAAAACATTATTGGAAAACATGCGACCATGGAAGTAAAAAGGAACCTAAGCATTAAACTGATTACATGCCACCTTATAGTCTTGCCTTCCCTTATCATTAGGATTTTATAAGAACAGGAAAAAGGATAATATTTTTTATCTTAATTCTGCAAGCGGTCTTTCAATATCATTTCCACAAATAGTTTTATTTATGTGCAACTTTCTAATGCCAACAGGGCACACAGGTGAGATTTTTTTCTACGAAGTTGGAGTTCTTAGGAGGTAAGAGATAGGCTGATGCTGTATGTTACCATGACACCGGGCGTATAAGGTTGCATTCAGAACAGAGGACAAACTAGTCCGCGTGCCAAATATGGCGACCGACTAAAAAGCTTGCCGTCTTATCCGCTAATAGACACTGAATAGATTCTCTGTGAGGAAGTATTAAAGTGGGTCGGCCATATTTGATCCGTGGACTAGTTAGTCCGCTGTTCTGAATGCGGCCTCAAAGAATTTCACCTCGTCAGGCTTAATCCTGCTACCGTGCACTAAATGCATTTTTTTATTCTTGTCCCAGAAAAAAATATTTTTGCATACTTTGATTCTTGGTTGTGTTTTACCAATGTTATAGTTTCGGAAAATAGGGTAATGCACTAAAATTAATTATACAAAATCCACGTTGTTCTTGGGTGAGTTTTGCCAAGTTTCGGAAAAATAGAGAAATGCACTGAAATTAAATATACAATATTCCCGTTGTGTCTTCATTTTCTGGGGGTCGGTTTGGAACACCTTTGTTTTTGTTTTCGTGTATCTGCCCATACAGTTGTATTATACAGGTAGCCAGGACAAACTTAATGAAGCCACATAGGTAATGGGGCTTATCAAATTGACTACTGAGCGCAAGGGCGACTTCTCCCTCCGGAGAGAGCCTTCAGATAGATGGCAGGTGTAGTTATTAACTGCAACTCTCAGACAAGAGTCAGACAGGGTTGATAGAGCTCATGATAGCCTGCTTTCCTTTTAAGATCGTAATGAGAGCTCCCGTCTGTTTGTAGAAGTACATTCTACTATAGACTGAGGCAATTTGTGTGCGTTTCTTTTTCCCTATCGAGGAAAAATACTCCGAAAGATCAATAGTTTTCTTGACTTGTTTTGTTTTAGAAAAATAAACTCTCTCATAATTATGTCAATTTACTGGGAGTTTGAAGCCGCTTGAATACCGTCATGAGATACGTCCCGTTATTGAAGAAAGTACGCAAGAAAAACAGAAACTGTTTTTTAACAGACCAAGAGAGTAAATGTCGACTTCCTTGAGCAGACAAAACAGTTACTTGGCTTCATTCCGTTCAAAAACAACAGGCCCCATTACGAATATTTGGTAACAAAATTTCATACTGAAAATGATAAACTATCGAAAAAAAAAAGCTTTTGTACGCTTAAGGAATTTTCGACTTAAATCGGAATCAGAGTGGTCTCTGGGCGAGAAAAAGTAATTTAGAAAACAAAACAGAAAACTTTTTTGTTTAGGTTTTTAATAAAAAATTCAAATGCGTGCTCACTTCTGTTTGAAGTCCCCTATATATCTTGTTCTCGTAGCAGATATTTTTTCTATTCTGGATAGTCTAATGGTTGCTCCACTGTGCACACAGTGTACACGGGCCTTCGCCCAAGGTGCGTGTCTCCTTATACTTACACTTTTACTCTAATGTGCCGAAGGAAGTCCCTTTCAAGATAATAGCTGCACTGCTGAGTTTTGGTCGATTCAGATAAAAGTGAAATATCATGTAACAACCCAACGCGCTGAGGTAGCCCATTATGGGTACTAAAGTACTTTAAATGTCTGGCGACTTTTGTGAATCAAATGCCAGTCACCATAAAGGTATAGATCAGTTGCAATAAAGTAATTACTTGTGAATGAACGACTTCCGGATAAATATTTACAAATCGCTGCTGTGTTGTTCCCAATTTCTTTTTTAAAGGGTAAACAAAGAAGAATACCATTTTAAGAAATTCAGTCGGACCGTGCGAGTAATTAACTAAGTGTAATCGACTTGAGCTCTACGATAACCGTGTTTGCGTCAAATAATACGGTAGGATAATTCGGTCAATTGTCTTCTTAGATTCTTTTCACAAGTTGCACATTAAGCAAATAAAGCATATACAGGGTGACCTTAAAAGATTTATCAATTAAAAATCATCGCTATCATTTCCATGAAATCGCAATTCAAATTAATAATTCGACAATTGCAATCACAACCCACAGATCCAAGGCACAAACAGCGATTTCATTAGGACTGAAGCGGAGAGAGAGAGAGAGAGAGAGAGAGAGAGAGAGAGAGAGAGAGAGAGAGAGATGTATATTACATTACTGCATAATTACATGTACATCCATACAAGACTCATGTATGGCTTTTTGGATTTATTGTATTCTCGAAACCAACAATGTATTCACTCGCCAAAACAAAATTGCATCCTTTCCACAGCTTCAGTCTCGCTATTCATCGCCTACTGTCTTCTACGCGACTTGCTTGCACACACCGCGCTTAGCTTGCAATGCCATTTGGAAGACATGGTTCCATCAGGTTGTTCTGAAATACTAGTACAGGCCAAACCTTACCAACGCATTTTAATGTTAAAAGGCCAGCAGGTGGGTCCCGCTGTGGTGGTCCGAATAACGCACTCTGACTTTTTGTATATTATTTTATGCAGTGCACCACTGAAGCATACATCCGGAGGCATCACCTTTTTATGAAGATATGTTATTTGCCGATTCATCTTCAAAGAGAGCGCTGTTTTGCCTGCCACAATTACAGGCACGGATCGAGTAAGCCGAGAAGTGCCGAAGTATGCCGAAACGGATTGTGCTCGGTTTTGCCTGTTCATGAAAGTCTATAAATAAGATGTCTAAAAGGTATACTGCTTTAAACAATTGCATGTGTTGTTGTAATCAGTTGCGGTTGTACACGGATGACTTTTTACACCAAACAGCAAATAAAGCTTATCTAGGATGATTTATTTTTGTTACAAGTGAGATATCTTAAAGTGCTATTTAAACTCCAGTGGGGTTTGTGTTTTTTGGAGAAAGACCTGAAGGAATTCACAGCGAATTCTCAAGTGTTTTAAAAGTTGATCTCGTAGGGATGTAACAGATAATTACAAAATGTGAGCATTACGTTGCCAATTTCAGCAAACATACCAGAAGGCTCTTCTGTTAGATTCTTGGAATATTTTGCTAGTTTATATTCAATTTTACCGTACACATTTCATTCATTTAAAATGCACTTCGTTTAAAGAGTCCGTACTAAGATATCCCTCCGCAACCCGCGAAGTTAATTTTTTGATTAAATAAAAATGGCATTTTAGGTCAACAATTCTCAAAGACCTGAATACGTTTAATAAGCCATGAAGAAAAGGTAAATGATCTTGAGAAAAATCGGCACTGTTTAGTTATTACATAATTGTTCATCTTACCGTACTCTCAATCTATTAAAACCATAGACAAACTTGCAAATTTCATGTGTCTTTTCATTCCCACGAAAACTACCCCGAACTGCCAAGAAAACAAAACGCTATGAGAAAAAATTGATGGCCTTTTGTAACAGTGATATGCATCATATCAGTTATATTTCTAGGTAAATTTTAAAATCTTTCCTTTTTCGGATTTCATTCAAAGTTTCAATAATTGTTTCTTCAAACAAGGCCTAATATCAGAGTTGTTACCTATGCAATAATTATTTCGATATCTGCTAGGAAAGTTTCATCCGGGAACCATGATGGCGACTTGTGAGGCATCGAAGTATTGGAGAGGTAACAACTCTGATTAAGCTGCTGTTTAAACACACCATTTATTGTAATTTCAGTGCATAGCCCACCTAATGAAACTCTGTGTTGAGATTGCTTTCGTAATGTTGCACAAAATGCATGTATAAAGCAGTTTGTGAAGTTATGCGGAATAAACAAAGAAACAACGAAGAAAACTTCGTGCCGATTTATAATTAGAAATCTAATGCATTTACATTATTCACTGGTGAGATACGACATTGCCATAAATATAAAAAATGTATAATCCATCACTGACTTTTAAAAATTACCAAGTCTTTGAAATTTTCAAATTGTTTGAATTATACAATTCCCAAATAATCCGAATAAATCCATTCAAGAGATCCTAAGCCTAATTATGGAAATCCCGCGAAGTTGAGTTACCCGAGATTACGTTGCAACGTTATTCATTAGCTTATAGATTAATCAGAAGCGCTCTTATTACTGATATCTCCCACGCTTGAAATGCCATCCCGGCTGCGTGGGGATCTCGTTCTGGATAACGTGCGTAGCATACAGTGAATTCCAGAAAGAGGTCTCCATTAGGATAAGAGTTCTCTGAAGCGCTCCTTGATCTGACAAATCGTTCTGATGCCTGGATTTGCTTTTGTTATCGACGATTGGATAGGTTATGTAATACTGCATTACTGTATTGACTTTTGATTACTTTTTTCTCCTTTGTGTGTGGAAGTGCTTAAGAATTCTAAGATAACCTTTCTAAATGTGAAGACGTACACAAACTGTATTATATCAAGCAATGTAAACATCCCACACGTGTTACTCGTTCTTAGCTTGTTAAGTTTTCGAGCAATGTATCAACAGCGCCTTCTAATAACGAGTGTTTCTAAAATAACCCAATGACTTCTTTTTTTATTAAATCCATTATGACTGATACCGAATATTCCTAATTCACACACGGACAAGTCACGCACGGTACTAGTGTGAGCTTGACTCCTCATGACATCCTGCAAAACACATTTTGTGTCCACATGTTTCCGCATATATATTTTTACGCGAAATAACTATGTTGTAATTTTTACATGTTTTTGTACCTGCACATGTACTGCACAATATTACCGTGTTTGTCCATGCATTCATATACATGTACATGTACAACTGGGACGGTAACCCAGCATTTGTATTTTAAGGTCTCACTTAGTATATATGAAGCACAATTCTGTTAACATCAGAGTTTTAAGAGGTAATGTTTCATCACGAATCTTTGGTGATGAGAGTCAGTTCATGCATTTCGTGTCCATTGTGTTGATCTACACGTAACATCTTTCCGTTGGAAAGGATGGAATAGGATTCCGCTTTGGCGCATGCGTGGCAATTGCGTGGTTCAAGATACCCTCCCTTTTTGGCAGACGACCCCTGAGAGCTTCGCCATGACGACATCAACCTCGCTGTTCTTCGGGGTAATAAGTGGAGTCGTATGCAACAGTACTGTAATTCGTTCCGAAAATTTGAACCAGAAAAAGCTGTACAAGAAAAAGTTGATGCAAAAGTTTGTGTAGTACAGCATTTGCGAGAGGAATTGCATTATTCCGTCTATTTCTTGGGCGACGTAGTTTGGGTTTATAAATTTCAACATAAGGTGGCGAAGCCTTATCACGTAGCTGGGGACACAGAGCAATAGAAACACCACAGATACAAGTAATAACATATTGGTTATGTTCATTTGAAGATGGTGTCTGGCTCTCTCCGACCGGAAGTGCATTTTCGGCACCCGCATCATGGACCCGCGTTTCTTGCTGGCTATGATTATAATGTAGGCAATCCTTGCATTGAAATAGAACAAAGATATAGACGGGATGAGGAGGGTCACTACAGTGTCCACGTAGTTCAGTATGTTAGCCACTTGGGGGTTGTCGTAATTCGGGACGCACCTCATCTCTTGAACCGAGACGGTCGCCATGGAGACGCTGTATCCGCCAAACGCCACCACCGCCAGAGTGACGGTGACGAGAACCGCGCGCTGCGTCGTGCACATCTCGGGCCGCTTTAGCGGGTAACAGACGGCTATATAACGCTCCACCGTGAAGCTAACGACGTACCACACGGAGAGAAAACTAAAAACATAGGTCAGGTAAACCATCAGGCGGCAGCTGTGAATTGTTTGATTGACGTCATGCACCCGCTCTATCCAGTCCCCAAACAATATACAGAATAAGAATCCTGAGTCAGTCAACGCCAGCGCCGCTAAGTAGACGCTGGTGGACAGCTTGCGCATCCCCGTGGAGACAAACACCAGGAATGAGACGCCGTTGCCTATCAGTCCGATACACACCACGATAGGAATGAAGTACTTGTTGCTGGCCGCTATCGCGGAATACATGGGCCAATTTTGGCTAATACCCCCATCACATCCTGAACCGTTAACCCCAAAGGTTGTCAGCCCCAGCGAGGCGTTCCCCCGCTCGAACAATGTCTCATTAAGCGTTCCGTCCAATTCACCGAGACCGCTGCTGCTACTATAGCCGCTAGAAGCTTCGTCGCAGATGCTAGACCCCATTTCGGCGGCGTAGAAACTGTTGTACATGGCCATTGAGTCTGCTAATGGATTTACATCCTATATCCCACTATGTCAATCTGAAAATAGAAAAAGAAAAAATATTAACATATCTCAAATCCCATCGCCATCAAAATTAATCTTTTTTGTAGTGGTCGTGTTACTTACTGAAATAGGATACCTGCATCTGAAAGCTGAGGGAATTATAAATCGATAAACATGCACAACCCAAGATCAAGAAATACTGTTTTTTAAGCACTGGTTAATTCTGCGGCCTATATCCCATTATATGGCCACCATACCACCAGCACTATTATCATCATAGTCACTATCATCATCATCATCATAATCATCGTAATCACTAGTCATACTACTTCAACCGCCTTCCTCCGAGTTCAGTGTTACTGTGCCTTCTGTATTATAAGACGTCTTCCTGGCAATAGAATAGAATAACAGTGAAAGGTATCGTATAGAGGACATTCGCTACCATGCGAGACCAATATGACACCCCGAGAAACCGACGGAATAAATATCGAAAAAGGTGTGACCAGTCCTGCCAAAATGAAATAATATTCCATCAGCTGTGACGTACAAGTGCGTTAATGTGCCTATTTTGTTTACTGGGCGTCATTTTGTACGCGGAAGGTTTTTTAGAAACTTGCCCATTAAAATCACCTTTATCACGCACTCGATTTTGTTACCTGTTTTTTCAAGAGGACTCCATATTCCTCCTGCTGTGTCTGTTTGTGTGAACCTACGGCACCGCAGCATATTACTGGCCTCAACCTTTACAAAAGTCTCATTGATATCCCACTTAATACCTAAATCACTGAGGGCCACAGTGTGTCAAAATTGAGATGCCGTTATTTTTCTTGGGTGATTTAATTTTGGTAAAAGATATTTAGGCGACTTTAAGAAAAACATAGCGTTCGTGGACAATTGAGCTCTCAGCGTGTCTTCGTGTCAATCAAAGTCGCGCTCTTTAATCATGGCTGCGGATCAATACACCTTTGATAGCAGATTTAAATAAGCCAGATCAAAATACTTTTCTATAGCTTATAGGTACAAAATGATGACCAGTGGGAGTCGAAGTTCGCTGACCCTAGTGGACATACACAAACAGAAAGGTGCAGCTTAATTCAATATCACTAAAATAGTATGCGGAAAATGAAGTAAACAAAGCCCTCAATTAAAAGGTAAATTTCGTTCATGAAAAATAAGGAGATTGGCGTATTTGTTTATTGGACACGGTCAAAAGGGTGCAAAGGCACTTTTAATAACTTCAGGCTGTAAACGTGCTGTTTGTTTTAAAAAAATATTTATGCGATCAGCAAACGAAATTGATATCATTTCAGGAAGTTTATCTCCAAACTCTTTTTTGGTAGAAATGAGAAAATAAAAAATAAACCCCATCTTTCCTGTATGAATGTTTTTTTTTTTTTTTTTTTTTTTTTTTTTTTTTTTGACAGAAACCTGACACAGGATATGCTATTTACGTGCGTGCACGAACTTATAGCGTTTAAAAGCGTTTTGTTTTCTTTTCTTAAGCAAACAGACAGAGCACGCAACAAAAAGAAACGAGAGAGCTGCAAGTTCAGGATATGACTTTGAAAGTTTGGCATCCAGATATGACTTCTTGATGGCCTTGAATAGGAGAACTGACACTAAAACAATTTTCAAAAGACATGGTGATTCATGATACGTGTGGAATTTAAGGCCCATGGATACAAGTACCAATACAGTGCTCTTATGAAATATCGGTAACTGCAGTGTTTCTGCGCCTGATAAAATTGTACGACAATATTTGCAATTTATTTGCCCATTCTCACAGCTGTCCACAACCGGCGAACCAATATAAGATAATACAAATGTGGCAGGAGCCCAAAAATCTTAACTGTAAATGTGCATTTCATTTTCTTATTAACAATCTTAATATCATTTTCATTGTTTATAAAGTTGCCACAGTTCTGATAGGGGCGGGGTATTGTTTAAACCAATAGTTTGTAAGGCGCTCGCTTTTGTTTACGTATTGCGTTTAAAAAAATACCTAGGTTATAGGCCTAAAGATTAACCGAGACTTCCGCTAGTTCACATTCATACACTGAAAACTCTACTGAAATCAAATGATAAGCGCTGAAAAATCGTTGTGAATACAGGTCGTCAAAGCTTGCTGTTTGAAATGCATGCTATTTCTTTACTATAGCCTACCTAAACACAAATCTACCATACCAGTGCGATCAACCGCTGATTTCTCTACCTGCCTTGACAAATAAACTTAACCTGATATACGGGTAAATCATCCACCAGTGTAGAGGTTGGCTTTCACGTACTTTCGGAGTAAATAAAACAATTAATCTAAAATGATTATCCTAAAAAGAGAGACGCATTACTGAGTTATGCACGTACTCGGCGTTCTCTGCGTGGCGGATATTGTTTTACCCCTCCTTAATAATGTTATGCTGTCGGTGTCGACTGACAGTCCTGTTGCCTGTAGATAAAAAGTGTGAAAAATAGGGTCATGTTAAGCCCCCAAGAACCAAAATGAGAAACCGTCAAATTAGCTCTGCCAATTAAGAAGGCTGTGTTTTCACGTCCGTTGTCTGTCTGTTTGTTTGATTGTTTGTTCATCATCAGCCTAACTCTGAAAGTTATAAATGGGATTTTGATGACATTTTCAGGAAATGTCAAAAAAGAAATAACTTGAAAGAGATTCGATTTTGGCGATGATCCATTTATAAATTAACGATTAATCATGAGTTAATTATTCGTCTTGGTGGGGGCGTGCGCTCTCTTGTGTGCTTTCATAGTTTCTGGTGATTTTTCCCGAGCTTCTCCGACTATCAAAGTCAGCAAACGAGCTCTGTTGTGGACAATATTTTCCTTTACACGCCGAGTCCCAGGCTCGTTTCTCCCATCTACATGTAGAACACTGCGCTACGCCAAAATCGGGCATTCGACATGCCTGTTTATGAAAATTCATAGAACGGAGGCCGGCCAATCTATTAAAACGTATTCAACCAAGGTGACCCGACTATTCTGGTCAGGGTTACCCGATACCTGATCGAATATGTAAAACAGATTACGCTCTTGCCCATAAAAGAACGATCGAATATGTAAAAAAAATGTAGAGAGAAACGATATGTTTGAATGTGGGGTTTCCTCCAGCATGCTGGCTATAGTACGTTACATTGGTATCAGTATTACATTAAAAATACATGTACAACGTGCATAAGGAGTACTGAGGCTGAACAAGTCAACATATAAACAGTTGAAAAAATCACTTTAGAAAAGCACCCTCTGGTCAGTTAATAGTGTTACTCTTTCAACTTTACTTAATACTTCTACTAAACCCCTAAATAGATTTCAAAGTCTTTGACATCTGTACCTTGTGGAGTTGTCTGTTACGTCATATTGTTGGTCTCTCTTCTTAGTTTCAGGGCAATTCAATATTCCTTCCAAACGAATTCTTTGAACTCAGAGATAAAAAGACAATTTATTGCAAGAGACAACAACAACGTTACAGCACTTACATGCACCATACTTGACAAAACTTAAGAGGTCTGCATGTTTTTTTTTTTTTTTTTTTTTTTTTTTTTTTTTTTTTTTTGCGCCAAAAGGTCCACGTACCGGTTTACAAAAGCCATAAATTGAAAATATGATACCATTCTCGACGTCCTTTAGGAAGCCTGCCAAACAGCAATTCTGTAACATATTCGACTCAGGAGAAATGTCCAAAATACCGGAATTTCCTGAACTAAGTGCATGAACACTTTGGAGACCTGAATGTAATTGTCCACAGGAATACCGGGTAACTTACAGCGCAACATGGTCTTAATTTTTTCGTACTTCTAGTAAACCACTGCGTTAAATAGTTTTCAAAGTATCACATTTCTAGTACACATGCTTAGCACGTTTTAGATAAATGGGTGTGTGATGGCGGACAGTCATAAAAAATAAAAAAAAACAACAATTATTTCAACAGTTGATAGCGACTAGTTGTTCAGATGGCCGATAAATAATACCGCTGCACATTGCTTTTTGCTTTGGTCACATTCTTCAATACTGTGATAGGTCTGAGGAAAACGAGCCATTTGTTTGAATCTATCGTTCCTTCTTCGGTTTCATGCCATACCTAGATGTTAAGTCATTTATCATCCTTTATCATGAATGGATTTATGAAATAAGTTCCTACTTTCTTCTTGGTGGGCAATAAGCCGATATATTTTACGTTTCGGTGCTCACATTGGCTGCGTTCACATGGTGCTCCGGTGAAGGGAATCTTGACCGGTGTGACAGGAATGGTCCTAGAATCCTAGGCCTTGGAACGGAAGTCCGGGGTCCCATATGATTAGTAAAGGTTAGGATTAGTTGGGGTATTGAGGTTAGTGTATATGGCGAGTGTCAGCTGTACAAAGTAATGGGGAACAGACCTCAGTTCTTAGCAGACTACCATTCTCGTCACACCTGTTTCAGTGGCATGCACAACATCTTACCTTCATTTCATTTTAACAAGTTTAGATAAATTCGATCAAAATCTTAAATTTCTCAATCTTATCTCCTCTCCTTTAGCATATCAGGGTATGGGCCAACTCACTTGTTTCGTTTCCGCATATTTATCTAATGTGGTTCAAAGGCGAGTTGCCCTGACTGAAAAATATTACACGCCAATTCCCAACACTCGAGCAAGAGAGATATACTATTGAAAAAAGGTCAGGCAGCATTGACCGGGCAACGCCACAAGAGGTATAATATTCTATTGTTCATAACAGATTAAGCATCAATCTCGATAAGAGCACTTCCGCTTGGTCCTTGTTATATTAATGACCACTTTAAAGATCGGACCTTCGATTCCAGAAAACAGCATTTCAGCGTCAGCGTCAGCTTAAACAAAGGTCAAATTCGTATCGGGATCAACTGAATAAACCTGTTCATTAGATTTGCAAATTGAATTTCATGTTGAATCGTTTCCGGGATATCAGTTGCATACACCTCGTGGGTTTCCTCCGTGACATTGTCCGAAATGGTCATCTTTATAAAGCGCCATCTACAGAGTCTTTTCGACATTGCGGCAGTAGATTTTTTCAAATGTTTCAAAAAATAGGTTGTCTGTTACTGAACCCGTTTTAACGCAATATATCAAAATATTTTTAAAAAATCAGCGTGTGATTTAATTTGCACAGAAGGTCAAATTATGGTGGTATCCCAACGCTGAGATTGGTCTAATTGCGTTCAAACACTGCAGGTAAATCAAATTGCGCTACTACGTTTCGAAGCCACGCATTAATTTTTCAGAAAATAATCCATCTCTTTGTGTATATTTAGAGGTTACAAATATGCCACGTTCATTTAATTCTGAAACCATTGTTAGTACACGAATACAAACCAGGCTTTGGAATGAATATGTACCGGGCCGCTGCGTACATGTATCTGCCGTAATCAAGTGCTGATCATTATTGCATTATATTACACACTACAGAAGTCAACACGGCAGGCGCTAGCTGTGGCCAAACTAATTAAAAGAACGTAATAAGTTGCATTCCCCAGAGAGGATGGTATTTTTTTATAAATAGTTCTTTAATTTCTCGCTGCGAAGTTTTTTTTTTTTTTTTTT